ATTAATAGAAGGGAAATTATTAAGCTATCCAGCTATCTTAACAGATGACTCAATTAGGTAAAATCGTTAAAGTTTCGGACGCAATTAAGCACAAAAAAGATGTTTAGAACTAAATTGAAAAAAACACTATAGTCGATGACTAAATTGGGTATTATTATTTGTCAATTGAAGCAAGTCGAGATTTTTCTTTCTTAGACCAACACAAATTTAAGTGGCAAATTATATGTGCACGAGAGCGCACAATGCATTGTGCGCCCTGGCCAAAACAACGTCGTTTTGTATCTGGTTTTTTTTTTTTTTTTTAGAAATTCCCCGTTTCCTTCTAAAAAAAATCTCCTGTTTCGAATGTACATAAACTCATAACATAATACACATAATCTAACATAATAGACATAAACTCCTAACAGAATACACATAAACTCTTAACAGAATACACAAGAAAATCTTAACATAATACACATAAACTCATAACATAATACAGATAAACTCATAACATAAAAAACGATATCGTTTTGGGCAAGGTGCACAATGCATTGTGCGCGATATAACGATTGAATTTAAGCCCTTGTTCCCAATTCCCAGAATCATTTTTTGCTTGGAGTTTCAATTTTGGAATTGTAGTCTTTTGCTTTAGTATTAATTAGATTAGATTAGATAATGCTATGCTGCCTCACAATATACTATAAAGAAACCAAGAAAGAAGTCATATGACCTAAGTTTGAGGAGTTGATGTAGATGTTGCTAATGATTTGTTATGTTTTTTTCTCTTCTAATATGTTGCTGAATTTGTCATTTTTATCATGGCTTTGCTAGTATTGAACCAATTATGTCCATAAAGACGTAGGAATAGGGAGTATTTTCAATTTCCCATCTGAATGGTTGTTTAAAATGAATTTGTTGGTGGGTGGGTTTTGCAGGGCAGGCGGTCTAGCATGGGATTTAAGCGGGCATTGTGTCCAGATGAAGGTCTCTTACAGCCCTCTCGCCCCTTTCTTGCTAATCCTGATTGAATGGATGGACTATAGTTGTTTAGATTCCCTGCCCACCAGTTTAGGCCTCCTTCACATACTTGTATACAAAGTAAGAATTTTGAATTTTGAGATTTGTGATATTATTATGTCATCATTTTGGGGGATGAGGTCGAGGGAAACCCACATTTCATAGGGTACTACGTATTTCACCACTCGAAGTGATGGTAGTCTTGACTGCCCTTGGCCCTTTAATTTGGATCATATGGATCAGTTGCGGTTTGTGATATTATTATGTCATCATTTACTTTTGAATTGGGTGGGGTTACTCCCGATTCTCATTGTGCTTTTAATTTATGTCATGAATTCACATCTACTCACACATTCCTGTTGTTAACTTGTTTTCATAAATTAAAGATTCTGACTTAAGTTCTCACCCTGCAGGTCTATGTTGATGGAATGCCAACCATTATGTCTCCCCAAGAAAGGAAAGCCACCCTAAGAGATTTTTATGGTCCGCATTCTTTCTCTGATTAGCATTAGCATATGATTGATTCTACACAATACAAAATAAGATGAATAATCTTGAAAAACAGCTGTAATATATCCTTCACTGAAGCAAATGGAAGGCAACTTAATGGGGAAGACAACCCAATGCTCTGCCAATTTAAGCAGACTAGTGGAAGATAATGTTGAGGGAGGAGAAGATGAATGCGGTATATGCATGGAGAGCGGTGCAAATATGGTTTTGCCTAATTGCGCTCATTCCATGTGCATCAACTGCTTCCATCATTGGTATGTAGCTTTCCCTACCTTCTTGCATTTGGGGATGGTGAGAGGAGGCCCGGGGGCATTGTGAATAAGTAAATAGGTTTAAAACCCTAACTTTGCCCCCCACCCCCTGTCCTGGAGATTGTGGTAAATCGCGAGATGTGCCTCAGTGCTTACTTTTTTCCTCAGATCCTCTCCCATTGAGCATTCGAACCGGGGGTAATTATATTGCTAGGCATTACCGGGGGGCGTTGTGAATAAGTAAATGTTATCATTCATTGCATTGCATTGCATCTCAGGTACATCCGATCTCAATCATGCCCATTCTGCCGAGGGAGCCTAAAACGTGTGGAATCTGGAGACTTGTGGGTTCTAACCGGCAACTCTGATGTAGTTGACACAATAACGCTTGCACACCACAACCTAAAACACTTTTATCTATACATCGATAAGCTGCCGCGCGTAGTGTCAGAGACCAATGCCTCATTTTATGATTACCTGATGTAAGAAAGAAGCATTATATATCATCTGTTCAGGTTCAGGTTCAGGTTCAGGTGGAGTATGAACTTTTAAATGAAGCTGTAAATAAGTAGTTCAAGTATAGGGAACAGAGAGTGTATATCAGATGCCACTTCAAACTCAGCCTTTTGCAACCTTAATTGGTATGTACATGATATGTATGGTATGGATTTATGAATCCACCCACAAAGCTTTTCATACCACAAAATTTAAATTTCATTACATTCAGCAGATGTTATGTATGTTGGACCATGGTTCATACAACTGTACGTGTGGATCATGCATAGATTACATTGTTTCTATGCATAGAGTATATTATTTTTATACGTAATGTTCATTATTTAAATGTGTACAAAATAATATATAAACAACTTGAACTTGCATAATGTTCATTTATTATTTGAGCATGCACAGACTGATTGAAGGTTGATTATTCTAAGCTCATTTTTGTTGTACATGAGTTTCATTATTGGTACAAGTACACCCCACCCTTTTAATTAGAAATATAATATTTAGTAAAAGATTCATTATTTGTAGGTCTAAAGTACATTATTTCTATAAATGTATTTTGATACATGATCTATAATTCTATACAGTTGTGTGGATCATGGTCCAAAGTAAAATTTGGCCCCCATTAGACCATAGACAAAAAGAAATATTCTTCTGTTTTCCCTTGGGTGGCAAATTCTGCCGTGAGCACGTGCCCACCTTGCGATTCCATATTCATAATTTCTATACTGTAGATTCATAATCACTATACTGTAGATCCATAATTTCTATATTATAGATTCATAAAATTTATACTTTAGATTCCAATTGTTGAACTCTGTTTTCACAAATCAAAGAACTATATGTTCATAATTGATAACTATACAGTTTAGAAATTATGAATTTACAGTACAGAAATTATGAATCTACAGTACAGATATTATGAATCTGCAATATAGAAATTATGAATCTACTGTATTTAAATTATTAATCTACGATTTAGAAATTATGAATCTAAAGTATAAATTTTATGAATTTACAGTATAGAAATTATGGATCTACAATATAGAAATTATGAATTTACACTTTTACAGTATAAAAATTATGAATATGGAACCGTGCCCACCTTGCAAGGTGGACACGTGCTCACGGCATAACAATCCTCCCTTGGTCTAGTAGATCCCTTTGTCACTACCAAGGGGGGAGAAATTCCCCATTCATCAAATTTTTTAAACGAACTTGCCACAATTCAAATAGGAGGAACAAAACCTTAAATATATGAAGTTTTTTTTAATTTAAGAAAAATTAGATAATATTTTTCACAGTAAAATTTTTTTTGAGTGCTACTGACTCAGTTACAATGCAGTATCTGTTCATAACATTTTTCACAGTAAAATGTTTTCCTCAAGAATGAAGAAAACTTTTTCCTTAACTTACCATTAATATTTTATTTTTCATAAAAACTAATAAGACAATTTTGCCCTCACCAAGCTTTTTTAATAATAATAATAATACTTATTATTATTATATTGAAATATATTTGTCTTTATACTCATTATTTCTTACAATTCCAAATCCAACCAAACAGTGGAATCAATATTCACCAAAAAAAAAAAAAAAAATCACCAATCAAACAATGTAATCAATCTTCTCGATAATTTATTCCATAAAATTTCAGTTTCATTCCTTATTTTTTGCCCGCAAACCAAACAGCAAGCAGTCAAATAGTTCCCTCAATTACTCCGTAATATTTTTCCCCCAAGCACTATGGTCCTAAATATAAGCAAGTGTGGTGAATATGGGCAAATACTTGGGTATTCCTTCAATCCATGGGAGGCTGGGAATTATAGACAGAGTGGTGGCAGGATGGAAATCCAAATGGCTTAAGTCATCGGTTTTGTCCGCCATTCCATTTTACACCATGCAAACAACTATGGTGCCGGGGGAAGTAATATAGCCGCTACTTTGGGGCAGAAGAGAAGGAGAAAGAAAATGTTAGTTGGTGAAGTGGGATGTACTACTAACAAGAAACAAGGCTGACGGTGGGTTTGGGGATCAGGAAACTTGATTTGATGAACCAAGCAGAGGGAGAAGCGAGAGAGCCTCTGGGCGCAGGTTTTTAGAGGGCAGACTGCTCAACATGGAAGCCAAAAGGAAACATGTCTAATGTCTGGAGAGGCATTTTGAGGCCACTGAACCCAAGAGATGTGCGACAGACACTATAGTTTTCGATTAGATGCTGGCTGCTGCTGCCAAGTGGAACAACATTTGGAAATTAATCGCACGATAGGATCATGACTAAAGATAATGACAAGTGCAGCCTGTGTGTCAATTCGACTGAAGATAACTTCAATGCCTTTTTGCCAAAACATTATTTCAACACAAATTCAAATAAAATCCAACACAGTTGTTAACATGCGTATTTAGTACAAGCAACATATCCATATTATTTTCTTCCTTCAACAACTCGCTGGCCTTTACAACATATCCAAATTCTCGGCCATAAAGATGACATGCTGCCGCTGCCTTGTAAGTGAGGAGCTCTGTATCACCTGGTGCAGAAAACTAAACTCTCAACTACTGAAAATTGAATTATAGCAGCCGCAAAGGAAATGGTAGGGGGTTTGGAACCTTTAGTAAGCAATTATGTCAAACACGATGATACCTGAAGCAATATCAGACGCAAGTATGCTCTGCTTGAAGTGACGGGTAAGCCACCATTTGCAACGAAACCTCCAAGATTTTCCTGATTCGGGAATGATGAATATTTCTGGAACACGACTAATATAACCTGAAAATTTTGGCTTCAGTCCATCACCATTAAAGCAGATCGATGCACTGTCTCCTTCAATTTGGGAAAGCTTCAGTAAGCACGATGCAAAATCGCTCCATGTGTTGCTTTTTGCATATATAGCATCTAAGTTTAAAGCTATCATTTCCACCAGCATTTCAGTGCTATAGTCCCCTGAGGTTTAATTGCAAACTTGGAGAATCAATGTGATGTACATCACAATGCCTCATAAAGAAATACCTCTCAAAAATCATGATGGAAATATTTATTGTTCAGAGGATATACAAAAGCACATACCTCTTCTATGTAAGTTGGTGAGCCATCCCAATGAGTGGCGACAGGTGGGGTCTTTTTTTAATATATCCTCAAAGCATGTAGCAAGTTTGGCATGGTTGTTGCCATCAAAATGCTCCAAGAGATGAGCCTTCAGTCTGCAAATCAGAATCCAAATATATACACAAAAAACATATGAATAAAACCATAAATAAATCTCTGGCGTGTGCAAATCTTCTAGTCTAGGCATGATATGAGCAATGAGATGTGATGGTGCACTGATCTAGCTGGGTTGGATATAACAATATAAGCAGATCGAATGTCAAGATGTCATGTGATCATTGAAGTTATCTATGTCCACTATGCTCAGCCTACCATATCTTATAGATACCCACCTTCTGTACTATTTAAAGGGGGTTATTGTAAAAGAATGAAGCCAACTTAGAAACTGAAGTGAGATGAAAAGTAATAGCAACACTACTCTGTTGTTTTTTAAAGGCAAGACAATGGTAGAGCTAGTGGATTCTTAGGTCGACCAATTAACCCATGGTTATTTTCCCGCATTGCATTTTCCATGTAAACTTCATCATGCCATTTCCGTTACTGCACTCATTATTTGCTCATAAACACATTTACTAACCACCTAAACACTTAAAATCTACACCATGGTTAATACTGGAAAATTGTGTTTCAACAAGATGACAGAAAATGAAAATGATAAAAGTAAATTTCAAACCTACCACTTCAATACAAGATTAGGCTAGTAGTGAACATCTTTTGAGAAGGATAAGTTACAAACGACGACGACAGAGAAGTTTCAGAGCAAAGGGCGAAAGGGAGGCAAAGATAAAAGGCTGTGCAAGAATACATAATGTCTCCAAAAACAAAAGTAACACCATTACCACACCAGAGAGGAAACAGAGAAGAAATAGACTGAAACAGCAATTCAAGTATCAAGGATACCCGTAAAAAGAGTGAGCCACATTCATTAAATCTAAGACTTCTCTAAAATGATGCCACGTAAATTCTACAGAGCAAATATCACTTTAGCAACTAACAACTACAGCAACAACCATAGTGTTTCCAAGATCTGCTGCAACAGTACACGAATGTCAAGACATCTAATTACACAACAAAATTTTCAATCCTTTAATTATCTTCTCAATTGTTTAATTGTATTTAGTCCACTTATGTATAGCTACATTTTCATGTCCTCTCAGCTTTTGCATGATGTTGACAACAATCACTAAGAAAAATAAATAACTAAAGAAAATAAGGAAAGGGTTAAGGGGATATTATTACCTCAAATGGAGTACTGTACTCGAGTCAGGAGAAAACTTTTCAACAATATCAAGAGCCTCTTTAACCTTATCCCCAAGCAACAGCAGCTGAAAAGATAAAATCAAACCATTATGCTACCATGATTATATTTTAGTGCACAAACACCTAAAGTTCCTTTGTGTTATTTGTACTGTTCTTTTTCCATTTAGTCTTGTGCAAAAAAGCTTGTCTCACTAGTCACTAGCATACATATGATAAAATGCACTAAAAGAAAGGATTGATTAAGCCAAATTAAGAATAGAAGCATTGTGCCTTTGCCTCTAGGTGAAAGTAGGAAATTGTGAGTCATGAAAGGCCAAAAGCAATCAATTTGAAATGCAATGCTTAATGTCTATATACAACAGGGCAGGCACTGCAAGCATTACAAAGTAGTAGCAAAAGAAATGTATGAATACAAACTACAAAGCACTGGTTGTGTCAGATATTCTGTCTTAATGTACAATTTTTCAAAAAAAAAAAAACTAGCAACACCTTTTTCTACTTCTGAAATGAGGAAAGGGTAAAGACTAAAGAAGCAAGAAAAGAAGCTAACTTGAAATATTTGATTCAATATTACACAAATCATATGTATAAAGTGTCTAAATTACCTGAATCAGAGGATGAAAAGCCTCAAGTGCCGGTGGCATTGAGTTGACCGCATGGCTTAAAAACTTTACCGCATTGTTATACTGATCATTGCGCAGTTGCTTATGCATATCATACAATTCCTCTAAATTATCCAATTGAGGCAATTGTATAGGCAATAGGCATGGTGGCAGACCTATAATTGAGAGAAACTATTACAGCGTTTCTTATAACTTGTATACATCTAATGTTCCGCATCCAAAAAGAAGCAAACATATGATGTAG